TCAGTTTGAATTGACATGTCCCAGAGGATAGTTACATCGTTATTTTGGGTAACTGTGTCTGGTTGGTGCTCATGCCATCTCTCAGTGGTTTCGATTTTGTGCTCCTTGCATAACTTCCAAAGCACATATTTCGCTACATTGTTATATCTGTGGGTATATTCATTATTTATTCTAGTTCCGGACATCCTGAGACAGTTTCATCATATTTTTCGCATTATTGAGATAGAGAGAGAGAGAGAGAGAGAGAGAGAGAGAGAGAGAGATAGAGAGCGCCAGCCAACTTGAGAGTCACATGTTGAGATACTTGGAACATCCTGAATCGGAGACCGTCTCCCTGCTTTTCAACGTAGGCATTTATAACTGGACCCCCACCCCTGCCAAAATATGCTATACTTTATCAAAATTGAAATTGTCCAAATTTCGTCTTTGTAGCGTGCTGCGGGAATATTGAGAAAGGTGCTTGAGAGCTAAGGTGACTTCGTTTTCAGCGATACTTACCAGAAATCGGGGGTGAACATATATATAATGCTAGCTGTTGTTAGTGTTGTGCTGTTGGCGTTGTTGCTCTATGAAGATAACATATTTCTGTCTATCCAAATACCAGTATAATTTTAAACGAATGTTGAACAAAACAAAATTGGCTATCTGAAAATTATTGCAACTTTGTTAGTTGATCTTAATAATATATACAAATCTACCTCTGTTATTTATAATTAGGTACTTCTAAAGATTCGCTAAAAATTAGCATAATGAAAAAAAAAAGCCCAAACCTTAATAAAAACAAAATTTTATCGTCAAAATTTTTATTAAGAGGAATGACGAAAGGATTTTTTAAATCATTAAATGATATTTTTTATCCTTTTTAGAACCTTCGAAATTTTGATTAAAAATTGTGCTTTTCTTGCGTCAGCGGGTCACCATAAATTAAGATGGGTAAATTTTAATGCCTTTTTGCGGTGCAAAACACACTGAATTGGAAATTATTGCGAAAATCAAATAATTGTCGGATTTCAATGAAACCTTCAGGACTTATTCACAAACGAATGAAATTATTTTTGAAAATATTAGTAAAATATTTTTTTACATCAGTTACCTTCCCTACACACACACACACACACACACACACACATATATATATATATATATATATATATATATATATATATATATATATATATATAATGGGCTCGCGTTATATACGGTAATTGTTACAGGTACGACTGAGAGAGTTGTAAAAACTCATAAAAACACACACCTCCGTGTTAAAAAAACGCTTTTCTGCGATATTTTAAACTAAAAGTAATATTTGCTTCAAATCAGATTAATTAAACTTTAAATTAGCTAATCACCCTCAAATAAAGTTTCACAAAAGTTTATTTTATTTTTGAAAGTTTTTTCATAAAGGGAAAGTGACAGATTTGTCAATAGGGACGATTTTATTTTTTTATACTGATAAAAAACACATTTCAATCGATTTAAATTCAGTTTCAAATACAACAAAGTATTTGCTTATTGGAAATATTAAATTTAATCTATTAGCTTGAAAAAAATAAAAGCTTCAAGATTCAACGATTTTTCAATTTAAAAAAATGCATTTTAAACTTTAGGTACCGCTTTTCTTTGGAGGTACCCAGTTATAATCATTGCAATAAAATCAAAGAAGAAAAATCTTTATGAGATTTTTGACTTACAAGTAGAATACTTTCAACTGCGTGAAGCTATTTATAAAACAGTAAAACACCCTGCTTTGTCAATGTTAGCAAACAACTGCAGATCACCACCAGCTGCGAGTATTAAATAATAGAAATAATTTCTTCACAAAAATCGTAACATTGAAATGTTCTAAGAAATTTCATCTGAATACAATTCACAGTTATTCATAAGTTTAATTGCAGTACAAACAAAAAAAACCTGTTATTGATTCAGGAAGAGTTTGGCCTTTCACATTCGTTTAGTGATTGGTTGGTCACACACACACACACACACACACACACACACACACACACACACAAAAAGATGTTTTATAATGTGACTGTGTGTTCCACCCTAGTTCTTAGCTAATCACATGTTTAGAAATTAGTGAGAAAACGAATAGAGATCGTGTCTTTTAATCGCAAATGAGTAGTCATTTTCTTTGTTTCAATAACGATTTCAAAGGAATTTAAACTGTCAACAGAAGAAATAAAGTAAAGACAAAAAATTTTTTAACTTATTTTGAAATAGATTCAGAAATTAAAACTGATATTTCAAATTAGATTCAATTTTGTAATTTTATCTATCATTATTTATTGCAGGTTTTGTATAAATCGAAATCTGTACACAAAAAGACTCACTTTGAAATTAGTTTTCTTTTCTTTTCTAATCAAGGATTATCAGCAGTGTCAGCGTTAAAGGATCATCTTCACCCGGATGATACGAGGCCATTGTACATGTTAATTTTTATAAAGTAGGATTCATTCATATAAAATGCAACTTTTATTGAAACCGAATACAATAATCATCATTATAATAATCAGTAATAATATCGTGAATCACTTTAAGTAACTCATAACAATGGTGAAATTAAAATACACATTAAAATGGAGCAAAGTAAATAGGAAAACATTTCTCTGTGTGTTTTCTCACTTCAAAAAATAAATTTATATTTTCGACCTTTTTTGTTCAAGCAAATTTAAAAGAAATGAATTATTTCACCTTTAAATTTCATACTTCTATAGCATCAAAGTATAACAATTTTGAAGGGAGTTTTTAATAAAGATTATACATTTTATATATTTCATTTTAAATTTTAGTTTAAATACATTCATTTTAAAACAATTTTGAAAAAAGTTGAACTTGCAAATATTTAAATTTACGAAATATTTATTGAACAATTAGAATATTAATTTAACGGTATAAATATTTTATAATTATACTGGATTTTTCTTGTTGGTGCATCCCTATGAAACTCTTAGGCGAATAATAGATCATACTATCATATATCAGTTCAGTTATATGCCATGCGTGATACACGCTTATCGATCATGTATCTTTCAATACATGACTGACGAGGCAGATTTCTTCCCGCAGTAGGTTGCCATTTCTCTCTGCGGTAGACCAGTTGCCATCCAGGACTATAGAACCCGGTCTGTCCTGCTAATTAACCATAGCTGGGGGTGGGGGAGAAGAAGAGGATTCATGTGAATAATTCAACAAGAAAATTTGAACAATGTACCTAAATACAAATTAGCGGCAGGTAAATGCATCTTAAATTAATCAACAATTTTTTAACTTCAACGTGATATTTTTCTTGATTATATTTTTCTTGATGAAATGTCGAATAAGTATATCCTTTTTAATTTCTTTATGAAAAGTCAATTTTCTACCGACATAAGTCAAATCCGCTTTATTCACTGTCCTTTGACCAATATGCTCGATATAATTACTTTCGTATGGTTTCATCGCACCGACTAACTCCTCTATGTTTTTCCTCAAAAATAGCCTCGAGGAAAACCTATTCAGCAACTAGCAAGTGTAAAATGATGCGTTTTGAAGCGTGTTGAAGTTCGATTTGTGTTGCGTTTTTAGACAACTGAAGAAATTTTCTGTTGTCTCTAGTCATTGTCTTAGATGTGTCCCTAGCGTTTTTTTTATTGTTTTTTAGGTGCTGTAAGCTATTCTATTTTTAGTTTTGATGAAAAACACGTCTGTTTCTTTGGGTTGGGAGGAGACTGATGAGAGAGTCAGTGTTTAGCGTGGTATATTTTACATTAACGCTACCCACCAATAATTAGACGAAGCTGTTTATTTAGATAGAAGCATGTATTAAATAATCTTAAATTAACATAAAACACTGAGTACATGAAATGATTTAAACAAAAACTAAATATAAACAGAAACACAATGTACTATTAATTGATGATTGTCGATTTAATATACATAGAAAAATATGAGGATAAAAAAGCCCTTTTCACTAGGGCCTTCAATAGGCTTGAAGCACCCTGTTATTTTTATGATCTTTTATTTATTTATTTATTTTGTGAAGGTGTTGTTAGCGCCGTTTCTGGATATACGTGATGCTGAGTTGCAATTTCAGATATTTTGTCCATAAATTATTTGTACTGCTACGGTATCCTACCCGCAACTGGAACATGGAAAAACAATCGACTTCAATGATTCCCAACAACTTTTGTGTAAAGACAAAACAATTGAACGTATTGTTTTTCGAAATTGTGAAACTTATATTTAACCATAATGTAGTTGTTGACGACGAAATTAAATTAGAGAACAATACATTTTGAGTCTTTGTGTGTGTGATAGTCATTGCCGCATTTTGTCATAGGTTCTTGCTATTATGTCAACGAATATAGTCACATGATTATGTTAATAATTTATAAGCATTTATTGCATTTCGCTGATTGTGAAAGAATCTTTTTAAGTCTTTATTTAACTGCTGAAAACTAATTCATCAGACTCATCTGAAAACCAAAACAATACATGCAATGCTCTTTAAACGAAGAATCTTTTGTTTCTAAAACTTAAAATTTGAATATAATCAGTAATGTTTTAAACGTTTCGACGAGAATAAAAACGAGTTTCTGTCATAATTTAACGACTTGAACAGAATATGAGTTTGTATAAGGATTATTAAATGGGAAAACTTTTATTGAATTCTGAATAATAGTATTGTTATTAACCTAATTATAGTTGCATTGAATTCGCTATTTTATGTATACGCAGATTGATTAATACGCCTCAATAGAAGAAATGTAAAATATTCGGAAGTTGTAATCGATATTTACTAAATTTAACTTATTACGATATAACTTCAGATACTGTTAAATTTAAAATTTGGGTGTATGTGTAACACTCACAAAAGAATTTGTTGAAAATTAGTTGAATATCGCACAAGTTGCAAATCTTCGAATAGAGGATTAAGACATGGAGATAGAGGTTTCAGTGTGTTTGGAATTCTTTCCTATGAACTACTTAATCTTATTATATTCCTTATTAACCATTAGTTCAAAGGCTATTCTTCCTTCTTCTAAACATTAACATCACGTATCTTTTCTTTCCTGTCTGTCTATCTGTTTCCCTCCATCTCCCACTCCCTCCCTCTCTCTCTCTCTCTCTCTCTCTCTCTCTCTCACTCACTCGCTCTTTTTTTGTCTTGTGTTTTAAATGGTAGTTTTTGTACCAATTTTTTATATTTGCCGCTGAGATAACGTCATTTTGTCATATAGAAACTCAGCTGACCAAAGACTGTAGGTACCTCCAAAGATTCGCTAAAAAATGAACATACATAATAAAAAAAAATGCACAAAACTTAATAAAAACAAAGTTTTATTATCAAAACCTTTGTTATTATTACAAGGAAAACCAGAGGGTTTTTTATGCGAATGTCAGTGTGTCACTTTTTTTCAACTTTCCTCCTAGAGGCCGTAGCCCAATATATCATACCATTTTAGAATCAAGCCGTGAGTAAATTAAAAATATTCCGGGTTGGATCCAGACCCCCAATCCTGAAATTTGGGATTCTCAACTTTTCTTTACTGTGATTGTTTACGGTGATTTTTTAGTGATTTTTTGCGACGAACTTTTTGTATGATTTTTTTATAACTTGGAAATAAATTTGGAAATAATTAATTGTGAAATTCAGCGAAAGTCACCCATGAAATAAAATTAATTGTTAGTCCGGAAAGTAAAGACCTACGTACATCAAATTGTCTTTAAATTAAGTGGCGACAGAAGAATTATCGTTGAACTTTTAAAAGGTAAGCTTAAATATTAATGCAATACTTAAATGAAGCGATCACTTTCGAGTTTTTCTGTAGTTTATTGATGCCTATCGCATCTGCTCCTCCCTGCCTATTGTGATGAATACTGCCCGATAGGGTGGCTTTTAAGATAATTGAATTATATATTTAATCCTTTTTAGAAGCTTCGACATTTTGGTTATGATTTTTGCTTTCTGCATCAACGGAGAAATTCTTATGGGAAATTTGAGCGTCTTTTTTTGTGGTGAAAAAACACTTTGATTTGAGAGTTCTTGCAAAAATCAGATAATTGTCAGATTCTAATGAAATTTTCAGAACTTATTTTATTTTAGAAACGTTTCATTTTAGAAAGTTTTATTAAAAATATTTTTGTGCATCTGTTAACCCCTACATTTAACTTTATGAAATTTCGAGAAATTATTTTATGAAGCGTTTAATGTTTATATTAGTTATAGAGATTTTATATCATGAAATTTTATTTGTCAAACAGGACCCCTATTTACAGAAAATCTGCTCTGAATCGTAAAATAAAAATGCTATAAAACTAAGACATTATTTAATTAGAATTTTTTTTAATTTCTTTTATGAATAAAATATATTATGGACAATATTGTCTCGAGAAAAACAAATTTTCGGTGAATAATGAATTTTTACAAGAATTGTTCGTATTTTGTAAAAATTTTAATTATAATAATTTATAAAATTTTAAATCTTTTAAAATTCTATACTCATTTGTAGCGGTTAGGTGATATTGTTAAGTAAAAATTATATTTACTAATCATAAATGGAAAAGCTTACTTTAGCTCAGCAACCCCCAGTATTTTAAAAGGAATTTTGAAATTTGTATACGTGTGTCTGCATATAAACGTGTTGAATTTTGTAAATGCATGAACGCAGGACATTATTAGAAAATAAGTGGGGTAACTATAGTAAATATAAAGTTTACTGGTAATTTTTTAACATTTCCTCCACAAGCGACTTCGTAAGTAAAACTATAAAGCCAAAGTACCTAAAAACTCAATAAAATATTAAATTACTTAGAATATTTTCGTAAATTTTTAAGATTGCTGGATAGTCAAAAAGATTATATAAAAAAGACGTTCACGTTGAATGCGTCAAGTAATTTCTTACAGTCATGTGCCCTTTACTTAAAAAAGGCCAAACAAGACGTTATCGATAAATCTGCAAAGACCCTATAAAAACACACACCTCCGTGTTGAAAAAAAACTTTTCTGCTGCACTTTAAACTAAAAGTAAGCTTAAGATTTGTTTTAATTCAGATTAATTAAGCCTTCAATCAGTTAATCTTCCTCAAATAAATTTCAGAAAAGTATATTTTATTTTTGAAAGATTTTCTAATAAAGAGAATTATGTTGTATTGACAGATTTGTCAATATAGTCAATTTTAGCGATTCCCTCTGTAAAAAATAATTCCAATCAATTTAAATTCGGTTTGAAATGCAGCATTTAAAATATTTGTTTGTTGGAAATATTGAATTTCATCTATTAGCTTGGAATTAAAACTAAAATAAAAGTTTCAAGAATTGTCATTGTTAAATTGCATTTTAAACCTTAAGTGTTGCTTTTTTTGGAGGTCCCTACCAAAATGTTATGAAAAAAAATAAGAAAAAGACGAGGATATTCACAAACAAGTCATAGAATATTAATGAAACTTCTCAAAATCTCTAACAAAACTTATTAAAATCCTTTTGTCATTTATTGATGATTGTCATATCAAGCCAAAAAAAAAAAAAGAAGGAAAAAATCGAGTCCAGTAAAAATTAAATCAAGAGAGTGAGGGGAGGAGATTGGCGGGGGTAGATTCCTTGAAAAGAGTCCGTCTTAGGTTACTGTTCATTAAGACAAATCAAGCGAAAGCACTTCATAAATGGATGTAAACAAAAGAAACAATACAATGCTTCTACCTAGTATTCTCTTCAGTTTGAAATTTATATCAAACTAACTTTTACCGTCTTACAGCCATTAAGTTAATATTTTTGGTCCATAGAATAAATGGGTGTGTATTAATAATTAAAAATGTTCTGGGTGAAACCAATTGTTAAGGCTTGAAACAGAGTAAATTCTTTTATAAAAATCAAAAATATCCTTTTCTCTTTTTAAACAACTGTAGAATTTTCCAAACCAAGGTCTTCGAATTCCATGTGTTGTTTCTCTGTTGATTTTGTCTTCTTACTGAAGATTTCCATATTTTCTGTGTCCTGGCATTCTTTGTGAAGATTGTCATCCCAGTCGTTGGACTCTTTAGAATCTGATTTAGCAGACTGTACTTTCACATCTTTTAAAAGATCAAGTGGTATTTCTTGAGTGGTGGTTGCAGCGGTGTTCACAGAATTGATTTTCGCTTGAAGCATTTTTCCGGACTTTGCTTCGTTCTGAACTTCTTTCTCTTCTTCCTCCTCCGTTACTTCATCCATTTTGAACAAAGAACGTTTTATTCTTCTCTTAAAACACGATGCATATTTATTAACAAATGTAATTGCCTCTTGAACTGTATCCATTTCAAGGGCACTGCCTTCAGCAGCCGGTAAATTTGCGAAAACAGATGTTATTACTGGAATATCCAGCAATACGTTTCTTTTATGACCTACTGTGCTCGTTATAATGAATTCCATTTCCTCTTTACTATTTAAACATAGCAGGTTTGTAAATTCTGTATCCGCAATCGGAGAAGTTCCATAAATAAGTCGAACTTTCAAGGGAAAATCGAACACTCGCAAAAGGTCTTTGATTCGATAAAGTGCATATTGATCAGAAACGTCTTTATCGAACAACGTGTAGAATTTGCCTTCAGTTGTATATGGAATGTAAACCGTTTTTCCCTTGGTGTCAATGCATTTCAAATACTGTATATCAGGTGTTGTGTAAGTCATTTGGGACTTTTTGAATATTCCAGTTTCTGCTTGTGTCTTCCACTTTGCGCTGAAAACACCATCCACCTTCAGCACAGATGCTTCTGGTACGGCTCTCTGGACATATTTCTCTGTTTTATTGTCGGAGGTCACAATACCCATTGCAATCATTTTGGTACAAGTGAAAAAGCGCTTCGGCATAACAGAGGCGATATCCGAAATGGAACAATAATTGGGGATTCGGCCAGACTCAGGAATGACACCAAAGAAACCTGTGGAACAGTTGAAAGAAAAAATAGAATGAATTAGTTACAAGGAAAAATGATTTGTTGTCTTCATATTGTTTTATGTCAAGCCATGAAACTTTTTCTTAGGTTAATTGATTTCATATTTCTGCAACTCTATGTAATCGAAATCTACACTTCAAATATAATCTCACTTCTTAGTGATTATTGTTTAATAATTATGAATGATCATAATTATAATTGCTTAACAATTCAAACAGAAATTGAGTCTGTGATTCTGTTTTAAATATTGCAAATCTCAGATTCAATGAATATTTTACTCGGATGCGTATTGCCTCAAGAATGACCAGGCGGTTTTTCACTTGCATCAAGATCATTACAAGATTGTTACTTCCTATAATGAAATGGAGCGAATGTCCGGGATGCCATATCAAAATACAAATGATAAGTTGTTTTAGATTTGCTAAGCAAAAGTATAACAATAAAACTCTAACCTATATAAGTACTTTCTTCTAGATATACGTACATATAAGTTAATATAAGTATATAAGATATAAGTACATCTAAGTTTTCTTGGTGGTGGGGGGGGGTAATTAAATCATAAATTTACTTCTACCCAATTGCATTCAAGTGAATCAGGAGAGTGAATAAAATAAGAATCTGGTTATCAATCCGATGAAAATATTGGCTCAGAGTGTCACACACATACAAATATAATTCTTTATAATATATATATAATATCTTTATATATATATATTTATATGTATGTATGTATATATATATATATATATATATATATATATATATATATATATATATATATATATTAGCATCTACTGTCATTTCACATATACGTGTGCATAATGTGTATATTAAAACATACAGACATTGAAAAACCTGAACGTTAACAGTTTTATAAGTTTCATCGTCACTCAGTGCTCAATTGTTGTGGGATTGTGCCAGGCTCAGTATCATGTTCGTACGAACATTTATACATATAAAAATATATTTAAAAATTCGAATCCAAATACTCTCTTTTATACAAAGATGTGTTATATTCCCGAGCTGACGGCTTATTAAAATATTTAGCCAATCAAATCGTTATTATTGTAATTTTGTAAAAGTAGTAATAGTTTCTTCTTACTGCTTTACACCTTGAAATCGCTACTACTATTTTTACTACTATTATTACTACTATCATAATTTCTATTAATAACTGCTATTAATCCTGCTCTAATATTAGTGTTTGTAAGGAACTTGGCTTGTATCATGTCAGCTGCATTCTCAAAAGAATTCACTAAAAATGCCATATCCAACTAGTAGACGAAAGGCACGTACTTAATTTTTTATAGGCGTAGACATGAAAGGCATATGTAAATTGAACAAGCAAATGCACACTGTATAGGCATAAGCAAATGCTTATAATGTTTGTCTGATAATTTTGTACAGCCCCAGTGGCACATAAGGCCACAGCCTCACCACATTGGGCGTTGTTTCTGTACATGTAATTTAAAAAAAAAAATGAAATTGCTAGAACCACGCCCAACCGATTTTGAATAGAGCGTTGTCCTTCTCTTAAAAGCTAGACAACATAGTCTGCACTGTTATTTCACCTGTAGCAGGAGTGGAAAGAAGGGGATGCATTCATATTTTTCTAAGGGTTTTTGTGAAGGAAAGTAACACAACGGAATTGCCGGAATTTGCACTCGACACACCAATTTCATTTTTCCGCTTCGATAACCGCTATGCTACACCCACAATATATTAACATATGAACAGATATGAACGTATATCTGAATAAGCATTCAGCTAATTCGGCTATGTAGCAAGTGACATATTAGCCTATTCATTTTTTATTATTATTCATCTACACACAGGTACGCTCCATTCTTTGTCAGCTCAGTTTTTTTTCTTGTGTAAAACTGAAATGGGATCAGATCATAGCTCCTTCAATATGCAAATGAGTGGACGCAATACACGCGTTTATACAGATTAACATGAACAGAAATGTACGGACAAATTTATTGTGGAAAACAAAGTGTTTGCAATTTACAGATAACATTTCTAAATATACAAACAATTCCACATACAGACAATTCCAGTTACTTCGTCCGAGTATCACTTCTTTTACATTTAAATCAAAATATGCAAATAAAATTCCTTAATGATCGGTCTTCTTAAATAAATATTTAAGCATCGAATGTTAACCTGCTTGATATTTTCTACTTAAGAATTGAGTAATTAATAATGTATATATATATATATATATATATATATATATATATATATATATATATATATATATATATATATATATATATATATGCGTGCGTGTGTATATGTAATTAATCTCTCTGTAGATAAATATATATACATAAGTTATTAAATGGTAAAAGTTCAATAAGTACGAGTTTATATATTATATTCATTCATATTGATTAGCTTTAAGTATATTTAGAATAATACCGTTTTCTTTTAGGAAAATATATTTAACTGAAGGCAGTGAAATTGTGTATTTATACATATTTATATTATATCAATTGCATTATAAAACTATATATTTATATTAATATATTAATGTGTGCATATATGCGAGCTCGCATTGTTTGTTTAAAAAGTAAAAAAAATAATTTTACAGTAAAAGTTGTTGAACTATTTTATTGCAATCTATTCTATTTTTAATTTCGAGGTTTTCAAATTGAGGCCAAAATTCTCCGCGTATTGTATCGGAGATATGATTATCGTCTGATCTTTGTACCAAGCCTACACTTTCTTAGGTTCTGAAATCTGAACGAAATATTCATTTTTTGATTAATAACATTGCAAGGGGAATTTTTTGTTTCTTTTAATTAGTTCAGTGCTAACGCGTAAATACTCTTTTATTTACAAAATATTATAAGTATTGTCAATTATTTTATTTCATTATAAAACCAAGCAGAGTTCTTAAAGCGTCATAGTTTTAAAGTAATTCTCTACAGAAGTATAATACTAATCTTTATACAGAAATGAAATGTTTAAGAAATAATAAAAACAAATTACTGTATATTTCTATTGTATGTTATTATAAAATATCTTACCGTCATAATTTTCTGGTATAATCAATATCGGACCAACATTCGTATATTTTCCACCATCTTTTTTCTTTAACACTCGACATTTCACCACAGTTTTCCGAGAAGCCGAATGTAACAAGAGAGGGCAATTTAGATATGGTTCGAGTTTCTTAGGCACTAAGCCAGGTTTTTCTTCGGCAAGTCTCACCACCCTAGGTAGCCTATGGGAAATGAGTTCATGCAGATTAAAACATTCAACTGCCCAGTCGTCTATTCCGATGGAACGGACAGAAATTGTGTCCGTCGTCTTTGTCGATGATATGTCTTCATCATCGGCCGAAGGTAAAGAATTGATTGAATCCTCTTTCATCGTTAAGTGATTTTCTTATTAATCTAATTAATGATGTTAACTTCTTATTCACAAGTTACTATCGTCAGCTACTGTGGTTGATTGACACTAGCAAAGGTGAAGTGAGTTGTCACCCTTCTTTATTATTTGAATATTACTGTTTAGAACTGGACCTACAAGTCGACAACCAGTTTTTCATGCACAAAAATAACTTAGCTCCATTGATCAACAAAAGGTGCGGTTATGCTGCTATGGTTAAAATCTCTCTATCATCACACGCAGCTCGTTCAGATGGAATGTTTGTACCTTTTACAGTCGTTTTTGTTTTCTTTGTTTAACCCATATTCTTCTTGCATGATACAAATATGTCTCTAGCCATTGTTATCGATGAAAACAATTTTGACCCACCACAGTTTTCTTCGGAATACTTCCAAAGTTACAAATAGTTCTCATCATTCATATAACTATAATGAAATTTCCTTAAGTTATCCAATGGCGATATTTATCGTTTTTAACTAATCATTCTGGATGGCAACAGCGGATGGTTGGTCGCATTTAATCCGTCATAAGAAATACTTGCCTAGACTTTAAATAGATGTTTATAAGAATCAATCCATATCGGTAATCTTATGATCTCTTGCCGCTTAGGTTTTCTTTTGAGGTGTAGGAGTCGCTTGGCGTGGATTTGTGTAGACGAACTGGCATTTTTAAGTTGACTGACTCATGTCTTCATTTATCTGTTCTTAAGTAGATAAAACCGCCAAAGGATTTTAAATTTACAAAACAAACAATTAGTTAAAAATTCTTTATTATACTTCGTGATTTGTTTTTTGATACGCCTGAAAATTGTAAATATTATTTCAAATTGTATTTTTGGGCGTGAAACCTACCATTTTAATATAGCGGCCATAATATAAGGAACGGAAACAACAAAGACATAAATATGTGTATTACTTAAAAAGTAATGCATGATTAGCAATGAAATTTTTACCGAATAAAGATTAGAGTGTAATACATAAATATTATAGAAAGTTACAAAAATTTACATAATAGTTTTTTTTTAAAATAAAGATTAAATGGAACAAAGGAAATAAGCTACTGGACAAAAGTTAAGGAACGATCTTGTTAATACTTGATTGTGAACAAAATATCAACAAAATTTAATATTTGGTAAACATCCCCTTATTTTCAATGACTTCTCTGCATCGTTGACTACATGATCAAATTAATTTCTTGCAAAAATCAGCAGTAATTCCCTCCCATTCGTCTTTCAATAACTGCCATAGGTGATCCAGGTATTTCGGATTTCTTTTCTGAGCCCTTTCTCCAGTTATCTTCCAAACATTTTCTAGTGGATTTAGGTCGGGGCTCTGGGCTGGCCACTTCATTAGGGCGATTCCTTCTTCTTCAAATAAAGCCATAACCTTCTGAGCCTTGTGGCAAGGTGCATTGTCCTGCATGAAAATAGGAGATTCATAAAGATTATGGTGTAATCTTGGTACCACATGCTGCTGAAGAAGCCTTTCGTAAATCTCAGAATTGATATTGCCATGTACGCGGATGATAGGGCCAACTACTGCAGATTAAATCATTCATCACACTGCCGCCACCAAACTTAACGGTTTTCTTGACACATTGAGAAGACAGTCTTTCACCTGTTCTACGGCGTACGTAAGTTTTGCCTCAGAACCAAATATAGTAAACTTGGACTCGTCACTGAAATGAACTGTATCCCATTGTGCGTCAGTCCAAACAACATGTTCTCTCGCATACTCCAGGTGTGCCCTTTGGTTTCGCTTTGAAATGAGAGGCTTCGAAGCTGGAATAGGGGCATTGCAATCCTGCATTTTTTAACCTGCGAGCAACCGTTTTCCTTGAGATCTTATTATCTGTCTCTTCATTAAATTTACGGGCAATTGATGTAGCAGTTTCAAAACGGTTTTTTGTAGATATTCTAACAATTCTTCGATCTTCTCTTTGTGATGTTTTTGGAGGTTTGCTGGTTTTTGGTTTTGCATCTAACGTTTTATCGGTTTTATACCTGCTAATTACACGATGAACAACACTTTTAGACGTATGGACAATATCAGAAATTTCTGAAATTGACTTTTTTTCTTGATAGTTAGCGATAATGAGTTTTTTTCTTCAAAAGAGAACGTTTTGCGTGTAGAATTTGCCATATTGCTTAAAAATAAAGTCCTAATGATAAATGAACTTTTCTTTATTGTTGAAAAGCTCCATCGAGTTTTTTAACAATGTAAATTAAAAGTTTATGCAAATTATTAACATCGTTCCTTAACTTTTGTCCAGTAGCTTATTTCCTTTGTTCCATTTAATCTTTATTTAAAAAAAACTATTATGTAAATTTTTGTAACTTTGTATAATATTTATGCATTACACTCTAATCTTTATTCGGTAAAAATTTCATTGATAATCATACATTACTTTTTAAGTAATACATGTATTTATGTTGTTTCCGTTCCTTATATTATGGCCGCTACTATATATATATATATATATATATATATATATATATATATATAAGTCAATCTTATATTGTGTGTCTTATTGATGTTGCTTTCAAATCTCTACATACAAGCAATTTTGACTATTAAATTTTTAGTATCACAAAAGTAGTTTACGTCAAAATTGTGGAGCGATTTCTGCATGGTGATTAATAGTAGAAAGAATAAAAATCATTGTTTCCTTCCAAGTTATTCGTTTCCTCCAAAATAATTGATTTGGATTATTTGAAAGTTTATGGTCATTTATCGCAGAATTACTGAAATTCGTAATATTCAACTTAACAACTGAATTAAAATTACATGTATTATCACCTGTTTTCATTTGGACACTGTTATCATTCATATTTGTAGAGAAGCCATCATTGATTTAAACATTATCTACCGAATATTTTTTTGTTATTTCTATCCTTAAAATTACTTTTATTTACGAATGTTTCAACATAAAGTCTGTCTCCACGTACTCGATTATGCATATTGTCATTTATTTCAAAGAGGAAATGTTTTGGTTAATGCTGTAGAACTTTGCAAAGGTTTGTAGGGTACTGGATAAAGGACCTCCAAATGTTTCCTAATACGATCCATTATAAGCGATACTTTGTCATAAAACAAATTCACTTGGAACTTGACTTATTCAAAGTTTGTGAATTTGCTTTAGATGCCATTGAGATAAAATTGAAATTTGTCTGTAATGTTAATGAATTCTCTTTCATTACCTGGGATGATTTACATTTGAGGATTTAATATTAAGGAAAAAGTTATAGCACATAAAGGTGAGAAGTCTGATTAATTGTTTAGTGCGGATTGAAGGGAATTTTCTGACAATATTTATATTTACTGTTTGAAAAACTGAAAAAGGTTAATTCAAAATTTTTAACGGGAGATCTTACATGTTTGGCCAATAGTATTTGGATTTCATTAATTTTATAGATGAACCAATACCAGGATACCTCACTGCTCCGTTAAAGTTATAGTGTCCCCTACGGTGCTCCTGAATAAGCCAAAGTTTAAAACAAAATCCCAATAGAACTTTAGTGACATTAATGATCACGTAAGCCGATTGGAAAAAACTTTTTTAAAACGATAAATTTCAATTATCGGTTTCACTTGACATTGACATTTTATTTTCTCCCTACTAGTAAATGAATTTGATATGGACTTTGGCACCCCCACCCCCCAAAAAACTATGTTCACTAGAGAAATTAGTAATATAAAAATACTAGCATCAGTATCAATAACACATTTTATTTTGGTAGCTCCAAAAATGGCGAGTCTGTCAGAGTTAATGTATTCTGTCCAATTAGTATTTCGCCTCACCGGAAGCAGAGGATAGTAATCGAGAACTGGTTAACATTTGAAGGATGCTTCTTGGGTCGTCTGCACCAATGTTTACACTCTCTTACTTTGCAAAGAGAAAAAAAATTGTGAGCTCCACAAATTTTATTGAGTTTTGCATCGTCTTTATTCTGTACAATATGGCGTGAATCCTTTCACTTGTGAATGTTGTGTATTTTAGTATATTTTTTCGAGTGTAACAGTATTTTTTCTTGTTTGAAACTGAAAGCTGTGGAAATTGCATTTAATAAAGAATGGCATTGATTCATCTGCTAGCTTTCCCAAATTACGTAAGAGTAAAGGTCTTTTTCTGTAGCAAAATAACAAAAGCACTATAGACAAAAGTAATTGCATACAGAAGTTTATGTTGTTCTTTTCTTTCACAGAATTACGGTCATATCACTTTGAAATACCGATTTTCGTACAATCACCGAAGTTAAGCAATGTCGAGACTGGTCAGTAACAAGATGGATGACCATTTTGGAATACCAGGGACTCAAAGATTGGATGTGCAGTAATGAATAACGACTCGGAATTGGAAGTCGGAGAGCCGAGTTCCAATTCCAATCGGGTTCATTATATTCACTTACGCGCAAATACCCATGCAAAAGGTATGAATTCATCTCTTCTACCCCACCTATGGGTTAATTATTAGGACTTGTATCAGTAAATCATTATTTTCTCCCCAAAAATTCATGCAATCTAAAACTTTTCCGTCTTTAATTAACCTGCAAAACATTGATGAACCGTAGAAAACAAACCAATCGATCAATTTTCCTTCACTGAAGCCGATTAAAGTGACAGACATCCAATGATAGTAATACTTTTTTTGTAAGATTGTCTAGCATTTCAGACTTTACGTTTCATAAGTTGACAAAATGATTTGTTTTAATTCATCCGATTTTGGGGTACCTAATGCTGAAGTAGGAATGTTTTGCAACAACTTCAATAGTTAAAGCTGCAATAACGGAGAAAATTATTTTTTTTCAAATGAATTTGTTATTAAATGGCCAAATAAAGGTGTGCATCCGCGAGTATACGACTTTTTAATCTCTTGAAACAAAACATTTTTATCAGAAAGAAAAGACTGCAGATAAAAGTTGTTTCTGCTAGAGAGAAAGTTCATACATTTTAGTAAATGTTATTAATCAATTTACAGACGAA